GAGGGCAATGAATGTACAAATATGCTTTACACAATTGATGTATGTATGGATTGTGATAAGAGTTGTATGAGCCCCTAATAAAATGATTTAAAAAAAGAAAAGGAAAAAATAAAAAAATAAGAGTAGTTGCCCTAAAAAAAGGTATTTGCTATGAACGAGTTAATGATTTTGCAAAATTCTATCATACGATCTCCAGCTTCATTTCTGTCACCAAGTCCACATTTTCCAACTCCTCTTCCTTCCTCTGAGCTTCCAACGTTTGCGTTCCAATCACCACCACTGTCACTGCATCTTGATTGCATGGCTGATCCATCCATCGGTAGAACCCCTCATTTCTTCATCTCTAGCTTTTGGTTGCTGTAGAAATTCGAGTAACGGGCTTTCCTTGAAGGTGCATAATCTGATCACAGACAGCATTGTATTTCATGAGGGATTTAGCAAGATCCTTTCTGACAATGAATGCCACGCCATTCCTCTTGATTGTGTTAATCCCGGCTTAGTAAATCATATGATTTTCTGATTCAAAATTCCTAGGATAGCAATCTTCATGTGTCCTATTTAATTTTTTGACCACTTCCAATTTTTCTACACGCATCGTTCCAATCACTAGAGGATGCTTGCAGCTGTTCCTCTTTCCCTCGAGCGTCCCCCCTCAGCAAGTGAAGACCCTGAAAGCCCCACCCCCACGGGCTTTACCGGACTCTTGTCACCACGGTCGACTCCCCTCCGAGAAACCATCTCTTCAGTCACATTTCGAGTGCCCGCCCGTGGACCTGAGGGCAGTTTCTCCCCGTGTTCGGCTTCCTTTGTTTAGGCTTTCAGTATTGGACAGCGCTTCGCGCCTACGCACATGGCTTTCCTGGGCTCCTTCCTTCCAAGTGGAGAGCCAATCCTTCCTTGTCTGCTCTTAGTCTGGAAGCTCTGCTGAAACCGGTTCACTCTGGGGGACCCTGCTGCCATTTGAAAGGCCCGTGACATAGCTTTTAGCATCACACAAGCCACCCCAGTAGGACAAACTGACAGATGAGTGGTGGTTTATGGAAGTAGGAAGCCTCATCTTTCTCTCAAGGAGCGGCTGGTATATTTGAACTGCTGACCTTGTGGTTCGCAGCCCGATATGCAACCCGCCATGCCACTGTGACTCTCAGGGTTTATATTTTGGAATCACCAGGCTTTAGATCACCAGGCTTTTCTTCTGATGCACCTCTGGGTGGACTCCAAGTCCAGTCTTTCCAGTAGCAGAGAACACAATCACCACTTACCCCGCCGCCCCCCACCATAAAAAGAGCCATTCCTAAAGAAAGCAAGGGCATTCTGATTCATTCACAGGTACTAGAGCAACAATTATGATTTTATTGAAGGCTCCTGCTCAGGGGGGGTTCCTCTGGGGATGTGAATGGATGCTCTAGTCCTCTGGGCTGGAGAAGGTGGGGAGCAGGTAGGGGCAGTGTGTTCTGAGGATGTTCTGAAACGCAAAGGCCAGAGTCCAGGTGTTGCGAATTTCCCTAGTGAAATGCTCCTGCCACGGCCAATTCCACCTGCCAGCTGTTTAACAACCGCTTGCAAAGTCCCTGAATATTGAACCATTGGCTCTGCAAGCTATTTACGTCTGGGGCTTCATGGACGTGTGTAGGCCAGGGCTTGAAGAAGAAGTGGGCTGGGCAAGAGTGTTCAGGAGATGGGACATCTTAGAAGCCCTGAAAGGTCAGTGAGAATCCTTGGGGAGTCACTAGCTGGTGACTTTCTGACTTAGTGTATGCTTTTGTTTCCTCCTTCCTACCTCCCCATACTTTTCTAGAAAGTTCTAGAAGAGGTGCTTTGGGAGACAGGGCCAGGGCCCAAACTTTGTGCTGGGGCAGGCCCGGCTTGTCCCCAGTTTGTGGGCATGGGGAGGAAGGTCCCAGAGCAAATGAATTGCCATGAAAGTCTCTAGAATAGTAGTGGGCACTGGGCAGGCCTTCACCCAGACTTTCAAGGGTCCATCTTGCCAATTTACGTGCACAAGGCTGGGTGACTTCAGAAGGCCGGAGGACCTGGGAATGCAGACAAACCTGAGGAAGAAAAGTAAGGGTCTTAGTGGGTCCAGATTAAAGCATCAAGGAGAGGGGATGGGGAAGAAGCAGGGCAGGTAAGGATGGGGGCGGGTGGGCGGAGGACAGACTGACAGATCTCTGGAATCACCATCTTACTGTTACATTGAGAAACCACATTTTCATCTTTTATTGGTAAAACGATCTCCACCGCTTTAAAGAATGTTGGAAAGCGTCTGAGCACACAGCAGATAATGCCACTCCGTTTTAGAAAAAGAGAGGGACCCTCATGGAGCTGGACTGAGACACTCGCTGCAAAGATGGGCCCCAAAGTCAACGCCCGTGAAGACAGGAGCCGCCAGAGCCCGCGGCGCTGTTTGATTCTGCTGTGTGCGGGGCACGATGAGTTGGAACAAGTTCAATGGCGCCCACCAAGCAACAGCAAACAGCTTTAGAAAAACACACACGCTCACTAAAGAGATGTACCAATTAATTTGCTGTCCGTGTTTTGCTTATTTAAAGGACTGTTTACACGTTTTCCTACTCCACCTGCTAATTTATAGCAGATTCCTACTGGGGGCCTCGGATGGATTTGCGTCAACAGGAAGTTGTGAGCAATGCTGTCTAGGTCTGTAGCAGCCACAGCTGTGATGACAAGTCTGATGCCAATCTGATTCTTATTTTTTTGTGGGAAACTTTGTTTCAATCTTCAGACACTTTTTGGAACGACTCATTAGCCTTGAATTTCAGTGGCATGACCAGGGTGTTTCTGGGTTTCTTCCATCACTTTTCTTGTCATCAGTTGGCTTTTTCAGTCTGAAGACGTGTCTACAGCTTTTCAGAAGATTCCATGCGATTTATCTGTCTGCTTCCTGCCGTCCTCTTTCTGGGACTCTTCCACATCAGAGGTTGCTCCCGTGGGCTGTCGCTTCTGGTTTCTCTTACACTCCCCATCTCTTTGGCTTTTTGTTCTACACCAGGGAAATTTCTCCATCTCACTTTAAAACCCTCCTGTTTCATCTTAAATTAATCATAGTTTGCTTCTAAGATCATTAATATTGAGATGAAAATATGACCTCTTTTTGGTAAGTTCCCCAGTTGTTCTTTTTAGAGCATTTTGTTCTTGTTTGTGGTTATAATATCTTCCTAAAAGTCTCGGAGTAGATTTTTTTAAAGGTCTTTTCCTTAGATTTTGTCTCCTCGGGGTATATGTTTATATATGCGTGCGCTTATCGTGGTCTTTATTCTTCATTCGATGGCTAGCCTCATATGTTGGGTGCGAGAACGTTGTTTGATTCTTCTTCTGTTAGAGAAATTCTCCCTGCACTGGGGAAGTTGACATACAGTCCTTCCATCAAGGTAGAATAAGATATATGGGCACCCATTTGCCAGACTGAGGAGACAGGGTTCTTGGGGTATTGTGTTAGTCTGGGTGAACTAGAGAAACAAATTCATAGATACTCATATGTGCATAAAAAAGCGCTTTATATAAAAGAGTAGTTCTTTTTTTAAAAATCATTTTATTAGGGGCTCATACAACTCTTATCACAATCCATACAGACATCAATTGTGTAAAGCGCATTTGTGCATTCATTGCCCTCATCATTCTCAAAACATTTCCTCTCCACTTAAGCCCCCAACATCAGGTCTTCATTTTTCCTCCCTCCCCGCTTCCCCCCTCCCTCATGAGCTCTTGGTAATTTACAAATTATTATTTTGTCATATCTTGCCCTGTCCAATGTCTCCCTTCACCCACTTTCCGGTTGTCTGTCCCCCAAGGAGGAGGTCACATATAGTTCCTTGTAATCGGTTCCCTAAAAGAGTAGTTCTATATTAAGAAAATATCCCAGCCCAAGGCAGATCAAGTCCATAAGTCAGATATTAGCCCATATGTTAATTCCTCTTCAGATTCACGCAACACATGCAATGGTGCTGAGTGCAGGAAGACCACAGGCCAGTGGGTGGAAAGTCTTGTGAATCCAGTGGCAGTGAAAGTGTCTTAGCGCTGGCGTGGGTCTCCACATGGCTCCTCCAGCTCCAAGGCTCTGGCTGCCATCAGCATAGCTCCATGTGTCTGGTCAGCAGGAAGATGAAGCAGAGAGTCTGTCTGCCCTCCAGTGAGCTGTTTATCTCCATGGTGCCTCCAAATGAGGTCATCAGACTGTGACCTGATTGACAGGCTAGACTCAACGCCTTTGTAAGTTGGCAGGAGATTATGTAACTCACACAAGTATCAACGTCCCCCTTAGAGCCTGGCATCCCCAGGTGAAGTGTTAAATGTTCCTAGAGATAATCATTGTTGGTACCCAGAGTTGAATGGAGCTCCCAGGCTCCATGGAAGAACCTGGCCAGGTACTCCATGTTCAGACCTTTAAACCACTCTCTATCACAAACCACTCCTCCTGCTGCCTTCCACTGGGAGCGAAGCTGATGAGGAGCACCAGGGCCAGGTAGGAGCCAGAGCTCTGGTCCCCTCTTGTAGCCAACACATTCTCCTGTACTTTCCATTTGTCTCAGTTATCTGGTGCTGCTGTTGTGGGCATAGCAGAGGGGGTGGTTTTAACAACAGCAATGTATTTTCTGACAGTTTAAGAGGTTTAAGTCTGACTCCAGAGCTCTGGTTCTAGGGAAGTCTTTCTCTCTCTTCTGGCTCCAGGGGAAAGGTCTTGTTCCTTTAGTTTCTGCTCCCTGGTTCTTTGGAGAGCTTATGTCTTGGCATCTGTCTTAAGATCTCTGCCACTTTCACTTACTTATTTAATCTCTTTTAAATCTCAACAAAGATGAATTCAAAACACATCCTATACAAATCTTGCCTCACTAACATCGCAAAGACAACCCATCCCAAATGGGATTACATACCCCTCATGTTTAGGTTAGGGGAGGATGTAATTCCAGCTGTAACATTTCGTTGGCCGCGCAATCTCCTTCACTCTTGCACCGACTTCTTTCCCATGCCTCTGGTCATGTGGAGGTGGGGTGAGAGATGGTGAGCTCAGTCTACCTACCTGAACTGGGAGTCCCAATTCCATTTGAGAGTTGACTTTCTTAAAACTAGACATCTTTGGCTATTGGTCAACCTGGAGTCTACCCTGACTTTGCCTGAATCCTGGGATAGACCCCAGTTTTCTTTGAAGATTGGGCCGCCACAGCACGGTCCTCCATTCCCTCTGAAAGCAGGAATGCCATTTGTAGATTTTTAAGAAAAAACTGAAATGATTTCAAATTACTTAATTACCATTATTCTTAGCTATTTTAATTTTCACTTTATTGTGAATCTTTTCAAATATAGAAAAGTAGAAAGAACTAAAAAGGAAGCATCCATCTGCTCACCCGTACATTCTAGCACTAACACAAACATCGAAAAGCTTTTTATGTTGAATCAGGTAAAGGTGTACAGAGCAAATCAGCTTTCCACCCAACGATTCACACGCCTTTGTTTCATCTCATGGATTACAATGCGAGTTACAGAAGACTTGTGAGTCAGAATGGATTTGGTCACAGTGAGTTTCTCTGGATTGATTGGCCGAACATTGAGCCATGGGAATGAGTTCAATTCCAAACCCGAAGGGTCACTACAGGCTCTGGTCTCAGGGGTTCCATCCGTCTCCATCTGACCAGTAAGCCTGGTATCTTTTTGTGATTTTGATTTTTGTTCCCCACTTCCTGTGCTCTACCCAGGACCTCCTAACGGATCCCTGTCAGAGCAGTTGGAGCAGTAGCCCGGTGCTCTCTAGTTCTCTCGGTTTCACGGCTTGGGAGACCAACATTCGTATGGTCTATTAATCCATTGGACTAATTGTTCCAATCTGTCTTTGATTTTCTTCATTCTGCTTTCCTCTACACAGGGAGAGACCGGTCCCCACAGTAGGATGTAGAACACTGTCGTCTTTGGGAGCCATGCATGTCGATTGGCCTTGGGGTGTCCTCGGTCTCCAGGACCAGTGGCTCATGGTCTCAAGGTGTTTGGTTATGCGTAAGAAGTTTCCGTCACTCTACCTCGTGTGTGCTGCTCCGTCTTCATGGAAGGTTCGCAGAGAGTCTGTCACTGACATTTTGCTTTATACCTATCTGGCCATCAAACCACCCCTCTCTCCACCTATCAGTTCTTCTTATTGTTTGGTGCATTTCAAAGTAAGTTGCGCATGTCAGTATACTTCATCCTTAAACATGTTCGTTACAAGACCATAAGTGAGAGTTCAATATGCTTATATGGGAAATGATATGTATTTTTAGAGTAACGTATGGTGAATACTGGCAAATATGTATGCCTGGGTAACTCAGACCCCAGGAAGACCCAAGACATGACCATCTACGGGACATGACCATCCCTCAGAAGGTTCCCTCCTGCTCCTTCCCAGGCCATCTCACCCTGCTAATTTAGCTTCATCCAGGACTTCCTGTGAATGTCATCGTATAGTGTATCTTCTTTTATCCTTGGCTTCTCTCAGCCAGAACAACGTTTTTGAGGTTCATTCACGTTGCTTGTGTAATGTCCTTCTTCTTACTGATTGTATTGCATGTGTGACAGTGTTGTGACTGGCTTATCCATTCACCTGTTGATGGACACGTGGCTTGGTTCCAATCTGTGTCTCTTCTGAATACAGCTGAATGAGTGTGTGGCTTGTGTTTGAAAGCCTTAGCTTCTACGAGCGGAAATCATCACCGGGCGCACATTACATTTCTGGGCAACTCTGACTTTCAGGGAACTACTCCTGCCGTCGAGCTGAAGTTCTCCTCCCTGCTCCTTGGGCCCAGTCCAAGAGGTGATGTAGTCCAACCAAGCTCTTTCCTATTTGGAAGCCTTCCAGACAACTGAACGTGCCTACTATTGCCCAGGCTTTGCCTCCTCCTCCTTCCGAAGGTAGAACTCTGGCCTTCCAGGGGGAGACCTGGGTTTGTTGTTGGCCTCTGTACCTCATGCACAGCCCCCAGCTGTCTGTGCGTGGACGCGTGCATGTGGCTATGATGCTGAGCGTGTTCCAGTGAAGCTTCTAGGCTATAGATGGATGAGGAAGAAAGACCTGTCGATCTTCTGAAAATCAGCCAATGATAACCCTACGTGTTACAATAGTCCCATCCTTAAACTGGCATGAGGCCAATGCGGGACCGGGTGGTGTTGTGTTGTGCAGGGACTCCCTGTGAGCCAGGGGCCAACTGGGCACGAGCCGATTGCCCAGATTCTGCCTTTCCATTCTCCCAGTCACCTTCATTTCAACCATGAGGAAAGCAAACAATCCTTTTAAGGGCAAGAGGCTCAGCCATCCTTTTCCAAAAGAAGTTTTCCAACATCCTAAGATGCAATGATCCGCCTCTCGGCTCTGATTTCCCAGGGAGAGCCCTCTAACTCAGGACCCCCAGCACAGACTGGTCCAAGACAACCAAAGACAAGAGGACAACAGCTTGGGGGGGAGCTGAGTTGTGGAGCAGAGAGATTTATTTTTCCTTAGGTCATTAAGCTTTCATGGTACAGCATCGACCATGGATTTGATGATGAGACCTGTGAGGTCTAATCATCTGACAATGATGCAGATTGGCGAGAATAATAACAGAGAAATAGGTATCCAGGTGATTTGCTAGCAGCAGGTGGGGGTGCCGCAGGAGACGGGTCTGCAGAGCAGGGGGGCACAGGAGGGCCGGCAGCAGCAGGAGGACTGGCAGGAGGGGACCACACACAGCACAGGCTTGCAGTTCACGGGCACACAGCAGGCTGCCTGGCAGGGGCTGGCCACACAGCAGGCTGGGCTGCAGGAGGAGACCTGGCCACAGGATCCGAGTCCACATGGGGACTGGCAGCCACCAGAGCAGCAGCTGGCAGCCCCACAGGGGGACTGGCAGGAGGTGGACACACCACACACAGGCCTGCACAGCAGAGTCACACAGGACACTGGGCGGCAGCAGGAGCTCCCGCAGGAGGAGGGTGAGCAGCAGGCGGTGGGGACACAGCACGGGGCTGGGCAGCAGGCCGCCTGGCAGCCGGAGGAGCAGCTGGTGTGGCACATGGTGGATCTGTGGTTGGGCTGGCTGTCAGGGAGGAGGTGAGGCTGGAATGGAGGTTCCTTCCACGGGGCGGCCTTTATATGCAGGTCCTGCGAGCACCCAGGCAACACAAAGCACAACTGTTGTCTTCCTTGTTTCCGATCCCACAGCCTTAATTTTCTGTTTCGTTTTGTTTGTTTGGCCCTAAGCACCAAGACTAATTGCCTCTCCTTCCAGCTCTTGTTTGATTTGGAAACCTGCCCCTCGGTCTTATTGACTCTGCCTCCATACTGCCTCATTCCATAACAGTTCGCCTGGATCACTGAGACGTGAGTCCAAACCTTGAGTCTCCAGGTTTTTGTCTCCATGCGACAATGGTCTGCCAACAACCACACAGCGTACACCCCTCCCCTAGGCCCAGGCAGAGAACAGGGAGGGCGGGCTTGTCTCCAAGAGCAGGTGTTGGAGAGAGACCTTTGGGACAGGGAGATGGGGAGGACGGAAGGGTGTGGACCCTGAGGAGTGTCTCGGGAGGGAAGACATTGCGTCCTCCTCTTGAGAAAGCATTCCAGGGACCTGAAATGCGGCGAAGCAGGACAATCGCCATTCCTCCCCGAGCAGGGTCCAGGTAGCTAGGGGAAGCCTTCCTCCGGACCCTCTCCAGTGTTCTCTCCCATTGGCAGTCTCAACCCTTTGTTGTGCGGTTGGAGTGGGAAACCCAGTCTGAGCCCATGCGTGGTTCCCCCGTATCCGCTGGGGGTGGATAGAGGAGCTATCTCAAGGATCCCGCTTTACGTCAGATACTTCATGATCAAAGCCATTCCAGGGCTGCTTCTGACACACAGAATGACCCAGCAGGGCAGGACCCGTGTCTTGCCTCTGCCCACATGCTGCCCTCTCTGTTCCCAGCTGTCCAGAATGCGAGTCTGAACCTCCCTGTAACAAAATCCCCAGGTGATGCTTATAATAGGCCACTGGAGATCCCCTTGCAGAGGGGTCTCGGGGAGGAGATGAGCCAGTCAGGGTGCGATGTAACAATGATGAGAAATACAACTTTCCTCGAGTTCCTAAATGTTTCCTCCCCGCTCCCACTACCATGACTCGAATTCGATCTTGCAAGTCTGGCTAGACCAGAGGAGGTACACTGGTACAGATAGGAACTGAAAATACAGGGAATCCAGGATGGATGAGCCCTATAGGACCAGTGGTGTGAGTGGCAAAACAGGGAGGGTAAAGGGAGAATGGGTAGGAAAGAGGGAACTGATTACATGGAACTGTGTGTGACCTTCTCCCTGGGGGACAGACAACCGAATAGTGGGTGAAGGGAGACGTCGGACAGGGCAAGATATGACAAAATACCCATTTATAAACTATCAAGGGCTCATGAGGGAGGAGGGAGCGGGGAGGGAGGGGGAAAATGAGGACCTAATGTCGGGGGTTTAAGTGGAGAGAAAATGTTTTGAGAAACGATGTACAAATGCGCTTTACACAATTGATGTGTGTATGGATTGGGATAACAGTTGTATGAGCCCCTAATAAAATGTTAAAAAAAAAAAAAAAAAAAGAATCACTAATGAGACCTGTAAGAATCACCTGGGAATTTTGTTAAATTCTAGATTCTGATTCAGTACATTTTTGTGGGAATACAAGTTCTCAACAGAGAGTTGAACTAGACTGAACTGGTTGCAAGCCCCGTTTGACCTAATAGATTTAACAATGGATTCAAGAACCTATCCAAGATCATGACAATGGTTCATGTCTGGGCAATGTTTTATTCTCTTATAAGTAAGGCTGGAGCCATGACAACGGGCTCAGTGGTAATCAACAATACAGAACTTTTTTATTGCAGTTATTAACAAAATTGACCTTCGTTTTTTGCCAAAGGAGCCCTGGTGGTTCTTGCTGAAATGTTGGACTGCTAGCTGCAAGGTGGGTGGTTCAAACCCACCAGCCGCTCTGTAGGACACAGTTGAAGCTATCTGCTCCTGTGAAGATGGACAGCTTCAGAACCTACGTGAGGAGGAGTCAGAATTGACGGAATGGCAGTGGCTTAGTGTTTGGTTATCTGGCAGAGGCCCCTTTGGGTCTGGACAGTGAGAACTGTGCTCAGAACTTACGCGGTGAATGGACCCAGAGCTGACAGGAGGCTGCAGGTTGAGACTCACCTGTAAGCCACTGGAAAAGTCACCGGAGTTCCTAAGCCCATCTCTCTAACACTTTCTCCACTTGGCACTGTCAGTAGTTCAAACCCAGTCTTAAAAACAAAGAGTGTTTAGGGTACATGGTCACTTTTTAAACAGTCTTACAAGCCAATTAGGAGAAAAAAAGAATAGTCATCTTTCGTGTTCTGCACTTACCTACCTATTTGCCCCTTTTGGTGCTCTTCATTAAGGAGCCCTGTGGCTCTGTGGGATAAGCATTGGGCTGCTGATTGCAAGGTGGGTGGTTCAAACTCACTAGCCACTCCAATATAGAGAGCTGAAACTGTCAGTTCCCATAAAGATGCACAATCTCAGAAACCTGAAGGAACTGTTCTACTCTGTCCTGTAGGGCCACTAGGAGTCAGAGTCCCCTCCGTGGCACTGGATTGGGTTGGAGTGCTCTTTGTTTCAGCCTGTGGACTGGGTTCTCACCAGGCCTAATTCCTATTCCACTGAAAGGACCCCCTTAAGTGTTTCGTATCGTACAAGTCTCCAGGTGAGGAAGTATCTCAGCTTTTATTTTCCTGAAAATGCCTTCATTGTATTCTTGATGGATTTTTGTTGTTGTTGCTAGATTCAGAATTCAGGGTTGATAATTTTATCTTTAAAGCTGTGCCATTGTCAGCTGTCCACCACTGTTTCCCGTGAGAAGTCTGGAATGCTTAGATGTTTCCTCCGTCTATCCTTTTACCTCACTGCTTTCAGTATTTTCTCTTTATTTTGATGGTTCTCATCATTGTGACTATTTTGTGCCCTGTTTATATTTTAAAAGTCCTGCTTTGGATCTGTCAGCTGGCATATTTTATCTTAAAAACAAATTGAAATTAGGAAACTTGCTCATTATTCCTTCAAAATATTTTAATGCTTCACATCTTGATCAATAGTAGAAAAAGTGTGGGAGAGAATTTCAAATTCTCATGGAAACCTGACTGTCTGGAAGCATTGAGGCTGGATAAGCCCCTGCGACTACGTCCTGAGATCATCTTTAAGCCTTAAACCAAAGCTACCCTTTGAAGTCTTCTTTAAAACAAATAGCTTAGCTCATCTCATTGAGAATGTCTTGAGCATTGGCCCCTTTAAAAGAACGGGACCTCTCTATACACCCTAATACAGCGGTTCTCGACCTGTGGGTCGCCCCGTTCATCACAGTAGCAAAATGACAGTGATGAAGTAGCAATGAAAATAGTGTTATGGTTGGGGGTCACCACCACATGAGGAACTGTCTGAAAGGGCCGTGGCACGAGGAAGGTGGAGAACCGCTGCTCTAATAGGATCTCTGTACGTACTAACATGGGGTCAGATTTACAACAGCAACTAGAAAGGACAGCTCGGAAGCTCAGGGGCAATGAGCTTCTGCTAATCGAAGAGGAGCAAGGGAGGTAATCAGTGTCACTGAATTATACACGTGGAAGTCGCTGAATTGGTATGTGCTCTACTGTGTAGATCCTGAACAACAGCAGAAATATGAAGTAAATGATTTTAAAGAATGTACAGAAGGTGAGCTGGAGACAAAACCGTGGCAGCTCATGTTCCTGGTCAAATGAATTTCGCTGCGGTATTCCAGTGGGTTCTTTATGTGTCCGACTTGATTGCTCAGACAGACAAAAGGACAAAACAAAGATGAGATGGTGGTCTGAAACATTGTTTTTAAGCTGTAGGACCATTGTCTCCTTCTGAAGTTAAGGTTACATGCTTGTGAGACTGCGTGATATTGACATTTTTCATTTTTCTTAATTATCCTTTTTCCTCTACTCTTCAGATTGGAATTTTATATTAAGCGCCTTCATTTTCATCCACTCATTTCCCTCAAGTCTCCAATATACTGCTGGGTCTATCTAGTACCGTTACAGAATTTCTATTTGCTGTCATTTCTAGTCCTCGGCTAAGATTCTCTCTCCAGTCTCTAATTAAGAAAATGCTGTTGTTTAAGTTTTGGAATACCCACATCGGCTCACCAGTTGGAGTTGACGCAATGGCAGCTGCTGGGGAGAAACACAAAACAAAGGCCACCCTGGAGCAGGCCTTCTGCCCAAGGCCCAGACTGTCCAGTCTTGATGGTCTGCAAGGGAGAGGCACGCTCAACTCTGTAGCAGCAGCTTCTCCCATCTATGGTGGCCAGACGTCCCGCTTTTTGGCGTTTTAAAAAAGTCGCGATTTTTCGAAAGAATGCACGACAAGCTAGGGAACGGTCTAATTGGTCCATATAGACCAAATTTTTAATCAAGACCCCCCGCCCCCCACCCCACAGTCAATGGTGTCCTGCTTTCAATCTGGTCACCCTACGATGAGACCCCAGTGACCTTGCTCTGAGCAAGTACAGCCTGCTCTCTTCCCACGTTCACAGGAAACCTTCACAGAGACCCTGTGGGACCAGCTGCACCCAGAAACCCCTCCTTTTTGGTACTCCTACCCTCAGATTCCTGGGGCTTCAGTCGTCCTAAACTGGCTTCCTCCTCTGGCAGGGAAGGACCATTGTGGTCTGCTCCCCACTCCAGCTCCCCACACTGCATTTGGTAAGCAGCCAACCTGCCATGCATTTCTGAACCTACACAAGAGAGCGAGGTGAATGGTGAGACCACAGTCGTCTTGTGCTGTTTGTTTTCCACGGCCTCCACACGGAGGCCATGACCTTTGAGGGACACCTTTGACTACAGGGCTAATCTGGCAGGAGCTGTCCTCTCAATTGCGGTCACTATCGTTATCTGCATCTAATGCTATTCTTCCCCCCACCTGGTGGGGGAGCAAGGCATCGCTTGGGCCAGAGTCCCTGCATGCTTCATTGTATATAGACGTGGCCTCACCCTGTCTTACTTCTTGGTTGT